ACAAATAAGATTTCCATTAGGGTTTATTAGGGATTTTCTTTTTCTTTTTTTCTAAAACAAATTATTGTCAATCCAATAATAATATTGATTTAATAATATGGGGTCAATGACAAACCTTACCATCATTATATTTCATTGCATTCTTTAAAATCCAACAATATATATATATATATATATGTGCCAAAAGTTTCAATTAATTTAATTTCCTTGATTGGCTCTGCCTAATTGCTATCATTAATTAATATATATATATATATATATATATATCATCACACACGAGTGAGTATATATATGTGTGGCTGTGATTATTATTTTTAGGACTTGTTCTTAACCGCTACTGAATTATTATTATTATTATTATTATTATTATTATTATTATTATTATTATTATTATTATTATTATTATTATTAAATCCTAATATCTGTTATAAAATAAAATTATTGTGTTACATAATAAAAATATTACTGATATTTTTTTTTACACTACAAAAAAATATATATATATTTGTAACAGAATTCCGTTTCTAAAGTTCATGTAGCTAACGTAATTTCATTCATAATTCCGTCTCTAATATCATTAGTAACGAAAAAAATGAATTTAAGAACGAAAAAATCTTGTTACAAAATTGATATTTTTTTCGAAGTGTAATCTTTACTATATCCAATTAAACAATATTCATCATGCTGGTTATTATAGTATATAGAATTTCAATACATTAATTAAAATTTTTTGCCAAATGAATTTACTGTGTAATACTCTCTCCGTCCACAAACTAATGTCCTACTTTCTCATTTAGAACGTCCAACAACTATTGTCCTATTTTCTTTTTTAAACTTAAATATTACATTTTTACCCTTCATTCATTTATTACTTTTAATCTCCACCTTACAACAAATTTGTTAACTTTTAATCTCCACCATAAATTTAAACATAAATAATATGTAATTTTTTGTGCTTAATGATAAATATTTAAAAATATATATTATAAATTAATTAACTCTGTAGCCAATTGGGACATGATAACTTCTTGAAATGACTGATAATAAAGTTTATTTGATTATTTCAATAGGTAAATGACTTAAGTGGGATTAATTGAGACATCAATAATTATAAAAATTAATAAATCTCATTTTTCATGTATGTAATTTCAAGTTTTGTGACAAGTTGGAATCAATATAAATATATAATTCCAAAATTATTTAATTAAGTTAATTGATTGATTAGGTGGTTGATTATGACTGAAATTTAGGCAAAATGTGTTGTTAAATCATGTGATTTGAAAATACATTAGTGTGCTATTATTGAAGCTTAAAAGTTAATTTATTGCTGAGTGGTAATTAAATAAAGTTGGATGGAGAAATTAAATAAAAATGGTTGGACAACAAATATTTAAAAGTGTTTCCAAATATTTTTAAATTTAATATTTAGTAATATAATATATATTAAATGAATAAATATTTCATAAATATTATTTTTTAAATAAAAAATAATGTAATAAGTTTTTAAGTATATAGACTGAAAATTTGTTATACTTTGCATAATATTAAACCAAAAATAAACGCAACTCACAAAATACTTATTTATAATACAGCAAATAATTATTACAATTCAAAATTTTAATACTTTTTCCATCCTACATCTCCATTAATATTGACGTTTCATGCATGTTTCATTTACTATGTACTTCAATTAGAGTTGTTAAACAAATTGAGCCGTTCGTGAATTTGGCTCAGTTCAGCTCGATTTGGCTCGATTAAAGATCATTCGTGAACGTTAACGAGCCGAGTCGAACAACATAAACAGGCTCGTTCGTTTAGCCCGAACTTTGTTCGCGAACGTTCGTTTAAATAATATATTTATTATATATACATATAAAATTATAATTTATAAATAAATAAAATATTAATTTAAAATATATAAATAAAATAATTTTAATTTTGATTTATATATAAATTAAAAAAAATAAGACAAACGAGTTTAATCGAGCGTAAACGAGCCGAACACAAACACGAGCTTAAACAACAAAAATTCTTAACGAGCTGAGCTCGAACACTACGAACGAGCTCGAAAGTTTAACGAGCGAGCATGAGCCTTGTTCGCGAACGTTAACGAACACTTAAAATTTGAGTCGACTCGGATCGTTAACAACTCTAACCTCAGTCATATTTTAAGTTTCATAACTTATAATTATTTTAATTTTAATGAAATTAATTAATAAATTTAATCTAATCTATATGTAATTATATTATGTCATAACTATTTTTACTAATACATATATATTTTTATTTACTAATTATATTATTCTTAAATTTTGATAGGTATAGTAAATATGACATGAAATAGTATTAAAAACCCTATAATGAACTCCCAAATACAATACAATATTATTTTCATTATTCTTAATAAACATGTATCCTCCCTCAGTCCCATAATAAACTATCCAGTTTTTTATTTTAGTTTTTTTTTTTTTTTAAGTAATTATACTATCTATCTAACATTACAAATACTTTTACAACTTACAATATATTACACAAATGTCATTATTGTAGTCATTTTTACTTTATTCTTACTATATCCCAATATAATATTCCCTATGTCCCATAAAAAAGTATTCATTTTTCTATTTTAGTCCGTCCCATAACAAAGTATTCATTTCTTTTTTTTTTAAGTTCTGTACTATCTATCTAATATTACAAATACCCTTACAACTTACAATATATTACGCAAATGTTATTACTTTTATATCACACATACTAATAAGATTATTTTAGTCATTTCTACTTTATTCCTACCACATCCAAATATAATACCAATATTTCTAAAACAACGTACAAAAAGCAAATAAATATTTAATTATAAGATAAAAAAATACTAATATTTTTAAAATTACGGGTAAAAAGCAAATAAATACTTGGTTATCGGACGGAGAGAACATTAAATTTTCATACAAACTAGTCAAATAATATTAATAAATTAAATTAAAATACAAATAAAAAGAAAAGAAAAAAGAAAAACAAAGGGTAGGTGTAAGGCAAAGTAAATATAGAGCAACATATTGATTAAAGATGTGTAAGAATTGGGGGACCAAAGTGGGGCCCACCATTTTGACAGGTCAACTTCAGCGTTCATTTTCCATCCAACAATGCATATCATTTTTCCTAAAGTTAATTAATTTCATGTCTATGTGTCAATGTGTGTGTGACAAATTAATTTCGATTAATATAATATATATATATATACATTTATTAATTCTTGCACGCACGCATTAAAAGTGCTTTTTAATTCAATACTTTTATTACAATATAAATAATTAAAAGAAAATTTAGCAAGTTGTTTTGAACTCGGATTTTTTCTATGAATATTATTTAAAAAATGTATATATTCTTACATAATATATAATCTATATTTCATTTATTCGTAAAAGATCAATAATTTAATATAAAATATTACTTCTTTTATTGGGCTTTAAATATTACATTTATTTTTTAGACGCTGATATTTGAATATTAATTATTATATTGAAACACATTATAGATTAAAAAGAAATGGCAAAAATCCTGTTATTAGTGTCTTATAATATTAATATAATGATATTTATACAAAAAAAATTATATAAATATAAAGATATTTTTAGTATAATATATAATGACGCACAAAGTAAAGATAGCCCTGTAGACGGACGGATATAATATTATTTATAATACCAATACAATTAATCCTTTTTTAAAAAATAATGTAAATTATTGATATGAATTCAAAATTTCCTTATTTTATATTATTATTGATTTATTATAATATCAATCCTTTTATAATTTGTTAATTTTTTGTTTTAAAATTATCTCAAATGAAAAAATTATTAGTATAATACAGTAAATTGAAATTTCTTTTGACTTATAAGAAAATATGGGCCAATAATAATTATATGTTATGAGGATGAACACGTGTGAGAGGTAATTATAAAAAACCACTCTTACAACTTTTATCATTTCATTTTTGTCAATTTGGAGACATTTTCATTAACCACTTGAGTGGGAAAAATATTCAAGATATAAAGAAAAAATCCCCAAAAATATATATAATAATATAGATGTTGAGAGTAATAATATATATATATATATTACTTAGTTTGTTTTTGAAGTAACTAAAAGTTAAAAAAGTGTATAACATAAATACAAAGCATGAGTCTAATGAAGTAAAACATAATGATATACATGAAATAATCCATCTTTTTACTAAATTACTTGTATTTTTATTTTTATTCACTAAATTTGCAAGTAAATTAGAGTTATAATGATATAAGAATTTTAAAAATAATACTCCATTCGTCCCACTTCTAAGTGTTCTATTGATTACTGAAAATAGATAAAAAGATCTTGATATTTTTGCACATTGACTTTATGTATAATGTAATTATATATATATACATACAATGGTACATTCGTAAATTAAATTTACTAAAATAGAAAATAGATATTTAGAATATGATGAATGAAAATGATAAAAAAAAAATATTTTGAGTTAAGACAGTAATAGATAGTAAAAAAGTATATTTATATATATAATTTAAATAAATTTTGTTAAATTACAAATCAATAATTAATCAACAACTAAAAATTACATTACCTAAGTAAATAATATTTCATATCTTTAAGTATGTGGTGTAGAGTTAAATGTGTATAATAATAATCACAGAAAGCAAGTGAATTGACAGATTTACCCTCGGAGGCAGGGCAGCACTAATCTTGGACAAAAAATCATCTGAAACAGTAAAATGTGCCCTGAAACAATAATCTCACCAGCCCACAAAAAGCACAAAAGTTTCCCAATATTGGAGACAATAATAATTATTAGCAGTAGAAAAATGGCCACACTACAGTGAACCTTCACAATTACATGCCTCCATCTCCAAACACCATCAATTCAATCTATTCTATTCTAATCTAATATAGTCAATGGACCACCCAACTTTCTTTTGCTTCCTTCCATCTACAAATCTCCACTAACAGAAAATTTTTTCAGAAAAAACCAAACACACAACAGTTCTTGCAATGGCCAAGAATGCCAGAAAGTGTCACTTGTAAGTTAAGAGTGAGAAGGAACTTGTGCAGCAAGTTTGGTGTAATAAAGTGCATCATATAGCTTCTAGAGTGAGTGAGTGCATGGGAATTAATGCCTCAAAGAGTGTTGAATGTCTATTATATATATCTGGTTTTCGACATTTTTTGCAGTGTTGCAGTGTAAGTTTATGAGTGTGAATCCTGTCATGAAGGCAACACTGAAGTACCTGGCGGGGATTGCCGGCCCGAGTGGCTATGGCTCCAAAACAACTGCTGATCAGGTTGCTGATGATTGTCTGCCTTCTTTCCATGCTTCCCATCTCACTGCAATCGTCACCGGTTAGTTCTTTTACTTGTTACTAATTACTATCCAATTCTCTGTCTCTGTCTCTGTGTGTGTGTAAAAATAGAGCTATGTTCTGTAAGCAAAAAACTTTTAGGATTAATTCTAATAATCTGATCATCATCATCACCATCATTAATCATAATCCTGTTTTTGCGGCAAGAACTGTCCTAATGAATCCCCAGAATCTGTATATTATAAGTAAATTTTTCATTTTTAACAATAGCAATGTATCACTGCAATGCATTAAACATTTAGTGGCATTAATCAAGCATTATAGAAGCAGCCATTGATGTGTATATTTGGGGTTTGAATTCCAAGGGGCCACGTCGGGGATCGGGGCTGAAACAGCTAGAGTTCTAGCAAAGAGAGGGGTTAGAGTTGTGATGCCAGCAAGGGATCTAAGGAAGGCAGAAAAGGTTAAGCAAAACATACAAAAAGAAAGCCCACATGCAGAGATAATCATTTTAGAGATAGACCTGAGCTCAGTTGCTTCAATCCAGAGATTTTGTTCTGAATTCTTATCTTTAGGATTCCCTCTTCACATCCTCATGTATGTATTTCTTTGGCTCTCTTTACAATACTTTATCATTATTATTTTTCTAGATTGATTTTTCTGTTTGGAAAAAGTAAAATAGTGAGTGGGGTTGGACCACATAAGAAAAAGAGGAACAGTCCAGGGACTAACAGCAGATAACAAAATTCCCACAAAATTTTGTGCAGAAACAATGCTGGCAAATATTCACAGAAATTGGAATTTTCTGAGGACAAAATTGAGCTGACCTTTGCCACTAATTACTTAGGTAACAGTTTTCTTTTTCTCTCATCTCTCTGTCCTTTGTTCAATCATCAACCAGTCTTGTTCCATTAACTACACCAGGCATTTCTATGTTAAAAAATACTATTTTAAAAGTGGCAAAAAATGTATAGAATATAATATAACCCTTGAATAAGAACATTAAAGAATGTACCTGAGGAACATGGAATTGACACATATTTCCTTTACCTTTTGGAAGGTCATTTTCTGTTAACAGAAATGTTGTTGGGTAAAATGGTGGAGACAGCATCAGAAACCTGCATTCAGGGAAGAATAGTGAATGTATCCTCTGTTGTTCATAATTGGGTGAATAGCAAAAGTTTTTGCTTCAGGAAATTGCTTAGCCCGAAAAGGTGAGACACCACATGTTATTCATGCATACACATTAAAAGTATTTGGCTTCTAAAAGCATATAATGATTTCACAAGCTTTTTCCATGAAGTTGTTCGTATCCTTCTCTAATTCTAAACTTTGTATCTGATTAGGTTAACAATTTCGCTTAATGCAGCTATCACGGTACTCGCGCCTATGCACAGTCGAAACTGGCTAACATATTGCATGCGAAGGAATTAGCAAGACAACTCAAGGTAAAAAAGTAAAAATTAAAATTCTTACAAATGCATATATGTACTCATGAAAGTTTGAAAACAAAGGAAGATGAAGAGTGCATTCCAAGAATGGACAAGCCAAATTTTGGCGAGGCCAAGCTTAGAAAAAAAAGCGAAAAGGGCACATTTTTTGTCTGACTACAATGTTTCTGGGAATCTAAACAGGCAAGAAAAGCTAATGTAACTATCAATGCTGTGCATCCTGGAATTGTAAAGACTGGAATAATCAGGGACTACAGAGGCTTTATCACAGGCATGCATTTTATCTTTTAGAAGCCACTCTTGTTCGATATGCATTACCTTTTCCACAAATAATCCAAGAAATAGATAACTAAAAATACTTCTCTATTGGATCGTTTTCAGATTCCCTCTTTTTTATGGCATCCAAGTTCCTCAAATCAACATCACAGGTTTGTCTACACAGCCTTGTTTTCTTTCTTTCATCTAAATTCAATTTAACAGAAATAAACTTCTGCAATATAAAAACATAATTCATATGAATTGATGCTCGAACAATATGTACTCCAGCTGTATATATGCAACTTCCATTAGACGCACTTACTGATATGTCTGGATTTTGCAGGGTGCAGCAACCACATGCTATGTTGCATTAAGCTCGTGGACAGCTGGGATGAGTGGGAAGTACTTTGCAGACTGCAACGAGAGCCACTGCTCAGCTCTTGCAAGTGATGAAACTAAAGCACGGGAACTGTGGAAGCAGACACATGCATTGATACAAAGGCAATTGCTTCTGCCAACAGGCCAAAATGTTGAGGGCCCTGCCACAAATAAGAACTTGATAGAATTAGGGTGTAAATAACACAATAGTGTTTCCAACGCATAGAGTACATCATGAGAGTAATATAATCCAATTCATGGTAATAAAAATCTATTGTTTATGATAAGCACAGGACAACTTTAGATAATAAATTACCTTCACACAAACACTTACCGTGAAGTTTGTTGACAAAGGCAGGTTCTGCATTGACTGCTCCATCCATCCAAACTGGCAGAACTCAAACTCCAAAACTTTTCCACACTTTCGGGACTCTCAAGCACCATGTCAGTTTAGGATGTAAATTCCCATCAACAGAACCACAGAATGTATTGATACTAATATATAGTCTTAATAATATTGCTTCATTCAAGAGAAACATTTACTTAGTCCCAGAATTCACAAAATCAGGGTATATTCCACAAATTGAAGGTGCACTGCAACAATTTATCTTCATTAGCAAGTTTCAGTACACTGTGGCAAACATAAATACTATTCAAAAACACAAACATCAATTACATAATATATATATATATATATCAAAGGTGAATTTGTTGCTTCGACAGCTCATGACAAGTAATCCATGTTAGATCAGCTCCACGTCATGATTTAGAAATATAGCACACTGGAGAGGATTAGGCAATTGAATCATTATTGACTTCGTCTCCGCAAGCTAGGCCACCTCATTGCTCAGTCAAACTCATCATGGATTGATTGAGTAAATGTAATTAAGAAACGTCTTCAATTGTGTCCCTGCAACAATCCAATGCTTTAGGATAAAATTTTCAAAAAATAAGGAAATGATTTATTATTCAAGTTCTATTTATTTTCAAAACAAAGTCACCTGCAAGTATGCAGATTGCCTAAGAGAAGTCGATTTGGGAGAATAGTAACTACATCCTTTGCTAATTCCACCTGAACATCTTCTATCAAGTCCCTTTTCTGAGGGTGAATATTCATACATGGAATCAGTTGAATCTGAAGATGCTGGGGCAGATTCAGTAATTGTCAAAGAGGCTTGATCAACAGCCAAGCCATGTGTAAAATATCCTGGATAGTTAATACATTTACTTTTAGAAACAGTACTCAAACAAAACAAAGAGTACTTGAAACCTTATGCATTCCCAATCTTGCAAGGTAATATAGTGAGCTTACAAACAAATGCTGATTGTTAAATATACATGGCCTTACCATGTGCTGCAGCATCTTGAAATTTCTCTCTCATGGTTCTGACAAACTTAAATAGTCCATTGGTTTTATTTAAGTCATTAACCAGCTCTTTGGTGTTGCTCAGATGTGGATCACAGTCAAGCACTAAACAGAAGAGAAGATAATAAGATTTTGCTATAAAGAGTTAAACCTCAACCATCTGTTACTTACAAGTGTACATCTCGTTTTCATGGCGAACAACAAAAGAATATTCCTCTTTAGGGTTCTCCGGGTTAATGTTAGTGAATATGAATTTCACACCTTCAAGGAGAGAAAGGCATTAGTAACAACCAATGACTATTCAGGGTGAAGATGATTTCATAAAAAATCACAAAAGTCACAAAAATTACACACCATGTCCAGTTTCAATACAGAAACCAAGGACCCTGTTGTACCATGAAATAGCCGTTTCTGTTTGACCTCTATTTTCTTTGTTATTGTCACATCGTTCTTTCCAAGGTGTCAAAGCTACATGCCCAGCAAACAAAAGAAGTAAGGCATCAGACAACAGGGATTGAAGTCAAAGTAGATTGCACAGATCAAACAATGTTATCCACATAAACATAAATATAACCAATAAATCTCCCTGTAATATGACGGATGTGTACAAACACAGATCCATGTTTACTCTATAAATATGTTTATTTGCAGTACATCTTATGTATCTTATAGTCTACTGCAAGTTTGAAACAAAAACCAAACGGTTATGATCATCTTAAGCTAAAAGGCCAAACTTTTCAACATAATAATATCATAGTTCAGAACAAATGAAAATAGCAAGAATCTGGCATGTCATTCACCTTGTGATTGCTGAGATAGAGCAGCAGAATATTCATCTTTTCTTTGCCTCTGATCTTCCACAATTCTTTTTAGTTGTTCAGCTCTAGCTTTTGCAGCAGATATAGAGTCCATCATTTCCATCAACTTTGCTTCTTTTCTAGTCTTTGCTACGGTCATGAAGCGAAAAGAAAATTAGCTCACATATCCAATTTAACGATGCTATATCTTCATATAATCAAATCACAAACTTGCATTGTCTAACTAAGAACCTTCTATTATTCATAAAGATATACATCCATAAAGCATCACAAAGGTAGGTTGTTTGTTACTATAAGAAATATTTTACATCCATCAAGCATAGTCTTTTTTTTTTTTACAAGATCTTTCCTTGTATTCTCATTTTCATTTTTCCATATTGTGCATTTCTATTTTTAAGCCAAAAAGACATCACATGCAATTCATATTTTCCATTCAAATCATAACATGCAACTTCTATCATAGAAAATAATTCAAAAGTTAGGCAAGTATTGATAATCGAAAAGAATTTTTATGAAATAATAAAAAATCTCCTAAACAAAGTACCGTTACTGCATCATCCTTTAATTGACAGACAACTCCTCTTTTTTTAATTAATTGTGAGTTTCTTTGAAGCAACTGCTTAGTTATTTCATTTTGTTAACTTAAGAAAAAAAAAATTAAAAAAAAAAATCCCCCTTTTAATTTAATTTACTGCATCAAACTATATCCCACAATCCCTCACTCATAGACCATCCTACATTGCACAATAGATTTAATTATTTGATAAAATCCAAACAAAACAAAATAAAACAAAACGCAACCAAACAAGATTGAGTCCAAAATAAATGAATAAAATCGTCACAATGGAAAACAGAGACCAAATTTAAAAAAAAAAAAAAAAAAGTATACCTGCAAGGGCTTTCACCATACCATCCTCAGCTTCTCTTAATTCGATTTTAACCTTTCCCAATTTATCTGTTGAGGGAGGGGGCGAAATTCATTAATGGTGGCGATCCAAGAACTAATATTACGTTGAAAATTTCATGAATTTCGGTGAACTTTCAAATAAAAAATAAAAAATGCTGAACCCTTGCAATTCCAACTCAGAATATGAAATCCAATACAAAATCAAGACTATGCTTTAACCTTGAAGCTGAATAGTTTGCCGAGCTTCAGACTTGGCAGCATCGAAAAGCTTTCGATATAAACTATGCAGAGAATCAATTCTGTGCTGCTGAATTGGGATTTCTCGTTCGCACACCAACCGCAGCTCCGCCATACGCGCCAGCACACTGCACTCTCTCGAATTCTGCACCTCCATCTCCCTTAAAGTTGTACGGTGCTGAAGCTTCTGAAGAGGGGATTCGACAGGATCAAAAGACTGGTCGACTTTAGTCCGCCATTTTTTCCCCTAGTTGTTCGTTTGAATTCTTGTTATTGTAATCTGGGGGCAATTTTGCAAAGAGAAAGTCTTGGCGGGGCAGTTTTGTAAATAGAAGTCTGGGCTTAAATGGCCCGGACATTATATGAAGCCCATTTAAAATCGGCCAAATTACGCCTTTACCCATTGAAAAAATAAATCCATTAATCAGAAAAATACTCATTAATAACTTTATTATATTCTTTTTTATTTATTTTAAATTTTAACTAAATTTTTAAAATAATTTCAATTATCTATCATTTTTTTAATAAAATATTTTTTTTTTAATTTCCAATTATCTATTATTTTTTAATAAAATATTTATTTCTTTTAATTTTTGTATTAGTAAATTTATGTAAGTCAGTGTATTGTTTTGAATCTTCTCAATTCATGTTTCCATGGTTGTCTCCCACGCGACAAATATTTGTCTTTATTGTCTTTTATTTATATATTTATTTATTTATTTTGTTACCATATTTTAATTTAAACATATATACACTATTGTTACGTACGAAATTTAGAATTAGGTTAAAAGCCCAAGGTAAAAAGAAGAATGGGCCTGGCAATAGGGTTGATTGAACTGGCTGAAGGACACCGTGAGGAAATCAAGGAAAATAAATTTATTTATTTCTAAGGAAAATACAGGTCGGAAGGTTCTTAGGTCGGTAGGTCCTCAGGACGGAAAGACCTCAGGACGGAAGGTTCTTAGGTCGGTAGGTCCTCAGGACGGAAGGTTCTCAGGTCGGTAGGTCCTCAGGACGGAAGGACCTCAGGTCGGTAGGTCCTCAGGACGGAAAGACCTCAGGTCGGAAGGTCTTCAGGTCGGGAGGCCCTCAAGATGGAAAGACCTCAAGTCGGAAGGTTTTCAGGTCGGGAGGTCCGCAAGACGGAAAGACCTCAAGTCGGAAGGTTTTCAGGTCGGGAGGTCCGCAAGACGGAAAGACGATGAGTCGGAAGGTTTTCAAGTCGGGAGGTCCTCGAGACGGAAAGTCGTCGAGATGGGATATCCGCAGGTCGGGTAAATTGTAGGTCGGATAGAAGGCGGAGTCGGACAAACGCGGAAGCCTTTGATCAAAGACAGGGGGCGGTTGATATGGAGGTCGGCCCAAGTGGGGTCGGGCGAAGAAGTAGGTCGGACGAAGGACGAAGTCGGGCCAAAAGAGCGGAAGGTTTGTGGTCGGCTCAAGGAGTGAAATATAGGGAATTTTGGTCTGCTGGGGACACGTGTCAGCATGAGAAAGGTTGGAAGACGGTTGAGAAGGAGACGTTGTAACCGTTCGGGTGACGGTTTTCAGTATGGTTTCCCAGGGAATATTTAAGGTTTGAATCATCATTTGGCAAGATATCTTCAATCAACTTCAACAAAGCAAAGTCAGATTTGGGGATCACCACTTTAAATTTCAGTCTTTTATTTTCCAGTATTATTTTATGTACGTTACAGTGTTTAGAGATTCCTAATCTCAGACACTAATTAATCAAGTTTAAGGATATTTTCCATATCTTTGAATTTTACTTTATTTTTGTTGAAAAAATACATCAACAAATTGGTGACCACAGTGGGAGCAAGACAAAATTGCTCATTCCAATTCCGGCGATAATTTCATACGTCTTAGATCCGGCCGAATCATCGGAAGGGTTATGGCAGGTTCACAACCGCAAACATCTTCGACACCGGTGGGAGAATCCGTTCCACCACCCATTGTGCCAAATGCCGGGGAAATCCCACAACCACCAACTGATTGGTGGTCTTATGTTCAACAAATGAACAACCAGCATACCTTGGTTATGCAGAATATGTTGCGTGAGCAACAAACGAACATGTTGCGTGAGCAACAGAGTCAGTTGCAGAACATGATAGATCAAGCACTGTCAAGGGTTAGTCTTCAACCCACTCAAACGCCACCAGGAGTGTCACCGTCCAGACCACAGGCAAATTTCGCAGGGCCATCATTCGTGGATAGTACATTCCCAAGTGTCACAAATCCCAACCGAATGGATCGGGGAAAAACTCCTTTGACTTTTCCCAACAATGTTCCACTGGGACCAAGGGTTACCGATTCGCAGCCGAACAATACAAGGGAGGACAGGCCTGAAGGATATATACATGATCCGATTCATATTCCTGTGCAGGATCCGTTCCAGGTTCCTGATCATCAACGCTTTCATGTAGATCCTGATGAGATTGCACATATATTAAGGGATCAGTATGGATTAACTCCTCAGATGGCTAACCGCCCTGCATATCAAAGACCTTTCCCAGAAAGGATCATTCATGAACACCCTCTCCCAAGGAATTTTCGACCACCCGACTTTCATGCATTCTCAGGGGAGGACGGATCTTCCACCATAGAACATGTTGGTCGGTTCACAGCACAATTAGGAGAAGTTGGCAATAACCCTTTTTATAAGTTACAGCTGTTTGGTTTATCTCTTACTAGAACGGCGTTTTCGTGGTTTGTAAGTTTGCCTCCAGGACAAATTCAGACATGGGAAGGACTGGAGATGGCATTTCACGTTAGATTTTTTAATCCTTTACCAGTTGTTTCTTTAACTGATTTACTTGAATTGAGACAGTATCCAGAAGAAACTGCTTCACAGTTTATAGAAAGGGTGCGATTGATGAAGGGACGATGTCCTACGGTAATCAGTGAGAAAGAGATGACCAATTTAGTGGTCCGGAATATGCATACTCGTTTAAGAAAGGCACTCACTGCCCTGGATTTTGAGGATTTGGCAAGTCTTGCATCCAAGGCAGGACGTCTAGAATCTTTGTTCAGAGAGGAAGATCAGCATAACAGGCGTAATAGAGGCCAACATATGGCGAGTATGGGAACAGAAACATGCGACTTTGATTTTAATCAGTCAGAAGAGATGGCAGCCGAAATCCTTTCTGGAAAACCGTATGTATGTCCTAAATTGAAGCCAGTACCAGGATCTGAAGGAAAGGAGCAACCGACCTTTGATAGTTCGAAAGCTGATGAAATCTTTGATATCCTACTGACTGATGGGCAGATCCGTATTCCAAAGGGCCAAAGACTTGCCACTAAAGAAGAAATCAAAGGGAGACCATATTGTAAGTGGCATAATTCTTTCACACACACTACAAGTCAGTGTACTCATTTTAGGAAGGAAATTCAAAAGGCCATCAAGACAGGTCGGCTCAAATACATCACTCTAGGTGTAGACCAGCAACCGTTTCCGAATGTAACAACGGCAATGGTTGACATCCAACCAAGTTCGGAAACAAGGAAAAGTTCGGCCAACGATGGACAAAAAGGGGAACGAAACCAGCCAAGCCCCGAAACAAAAAAAGGAAGTCGGCCAAACAGCAGCCGACCGGAAGAACGACTCAAAGTTTGTGAGAAACCAGTCGCTGAAAAATGGGACCATCCAGACGGTTCTTTTAATGTGGAGGTGAAAGAAAGGGCGTTAGTTCGTGACCACCCGACCAGAAAAACAGGGTCAGTCGGGAACAATTGGGCTCGAAATAAAAAGCCTTTACCAGTTGATATAGATCCTCGTTTCCCAGGTATGAATCGTACACAGATTCGCAATGCCAAACGCAGGTATGCTGCAAAGTATGGGAAACGAGTTCCTTCAGCAAAACAACTAACCGACGAACAAAAAGCAGCCGACCACTTGGCAGGAGATCAGTCCATTCGGAACTTTACAGAACAAACGACCAACGAGCAGGGAGTAACCATTCAGTCTGCAATTGGTCGGTCCAGTCGGGTCTGGTCAGGAAAGCAACCGAATGACAGATTAGGCGCTTCCGACCATACCAAAAGAAGTTCGTCGGGACTGGGGAAAGGTAAAGGTGTGGCAGATGAAATAATTAAAGGTTTTAGATGCCAACATTGTGAACGAATCAACATCAATCCATCTCTTGAAGACTTCCGTATAGAATCTTTGACGCTTCAACCTCAGAACAAGACGAAGGAAGAAGTTATAACTACAGAGGAAAGTTCAAGATCTGTTAAATCTCGTCTGGGACCACGAATCCCTTGTCGAATGACAGAGATTAATCAGATGAGTGATGAACCGACGTGGGCGAGTCTGGTAGATGAAACTATGGACGAACCTTTATGGGCTTTCTTGGCAGATGGTGAATTAGAGGAGACAGAGGGGGCAAAGACCTCAGACTCTGAGCCTCAACCGGAGCCACCTTCGATTGTGTTTCCTCCTATTCCAGAGGGTGCGATCTCCCATTTGAAGCCTCTGTATGTTAATGCTCATATTTGTGGGAAACCAATCACAAAGGTTTTCGTGGATAATGGAGCAGTTTTTAATGTTATGCCATTGAAGACTCTCAAGAAGTTAGGAAAAGGAATACATGATCTATCTCCTGTGGAATTCGAAATGACAAGTTTTACAGGGCAGCCGACCAAGCCTGAAGGCATGATGGTTGCAACAATTGAAGTCGGACCAAAGAAGATCTCCACTGTTTTCTTTATTGTGGACGCAGATACTACATATTCTCTCTTGCTGGGAAGAGACTGGATTCATGCCTCTCGATGTGTGCCATCAACCTTGCACCAACAATTAATGTTCTGGGAAGGAGATCAGGTCTTCAAAATGGAAGCGAATGACAACCCATTCGATGTATCAGAACAAGTTGAAGAGTCAGTGTTTTATGCCAGTCCTTTGGCTCCGATGTCTCAATTGTATATGGCCAGGGAATACCCAAACAAGGGTTATAAAGTCACTGGCCAGAACTCGATGTTCTATTAAAAGAACACCTTTATTGTATGGCTCATGATAAAGCCACACCCATTCCCGTATAATTTGTTTGTAATGGAAGATACAAGCTTAGAAGTATGTAGTTCTCTTATTAATAAGTTCTATTTAAAGCAGTTATTACATAAAGCAGAAAATAGTAAAGAGATTCTGGATGTTCACCTCCAAGAAGATGAACAATTTCGCTGGCCCGACTTATTAGAAAAAACAGAACCAACAGCTTCATCACAAGACCCATTATTGGAGTTTAATTTAGGAACCGAATTGGTTCCAAAAGTGATCAGG